GGCAACAGCAATACACTAAGGGATTGAAACATACCAGGACGGCAATAGAGGGGGGGGCGAAATCAGAGCACAGGCTGGCAGGTGGTAGAGGAGCTAGCTGGCCGTCCCACGGGCGGGCATGAGCCACTCTCGATCACGTGGATCGCACAGCCTTAGGCGATTCCGGTTCTTCCCTTTCAAGCGCCTCATAACACGACGCTCACCACCCCCTCTACAGCAGACTACCTCATAATGCATAGGGTCGGTACCCCCATTTCCGCATGCATTATGAGACATTATGCATTATCAGACGGCCTGTCGAGGGTGAAGCGCCGATTTGGTACCCGTCCGGGGCCTCTGCGGCGATATGCATCATCAGATATGACCTCATGCATTATGAGGTAGTCTACTGTATGCCCATGCATTAAGCGAAACTGGAATCGTCGTCAGAATCGGCCAGAATCGTCCACTCTGACCTCCCCTAATGGCGTCTATATGGCGGAAAGTTGCTGTAGCGCCCGCGTTGCACGCTACTTCTCTTCCCTCCGTCCGTTCCTGATCGACGTGCTTCGGGATTGGCCTCTTCTCTATCTTCCTGCTTCTCTTATCCCACTCGTATCTAGCCCGAGTCTTCCCGAACCTTAGAGGCTGCTATAGCGCCCGTAACTCGTATATAAACCCAATCTGTATGTACAAGACTGCAGCGTTCAATCGAGATACTCATACCCTGTCTATCCCTCGAGCGAACCTCTCTCATTCCCTCTCGTGATGCGCCACCTACCCTTTCGGGCCAGCGAGCGCGTCATATTTTTGACAGCTAGTCTCTCGACAACAACAGCCACCTCTCTAGTCTCTCTATCTCTCTCCTCCTCATCGACCGGGCCTCCTCCGAGTCTGATCAACTCGGGACTCCTTTCGACGACCTATACCGCACGTTTCTATTTTCTCTTTCTTGTTAGCTAACCTACTATAAAACCCAGACATGTCTATTAGATACAACCTCAGACGTCGCCCGCCGGGCACGCAGGTTCTTTTGGCCGCTCAGCCTTTGGTACCTGGTGAGCCGCCCCTTGAGGCAGTCACAGCTGACCTACCTGCCACAGGTAGTCCTCTCACGGGGACAGAATCCCCTACCGGTGGTGTCAGCCCCGGAACCGAGCGCGGTGTTCCCGCCTCGGGTTCCCAGTCCTCCGCTATTGTAGCCGGGCTGGTGACTGCAGACGCAGATACCCCAAGGGCTTTAAACTCCCCCGTTTCCGACACCGGCGAGGGCGTTCGGAAGTATCCAGTGACCGTCGAGGATGGCTCTGATGACAACGGCGACCCTTGGATTCCAGTCCAACGGTGCCGCCGTGCTCGCAGTGCCGACGCCGCTCCGCCTGCTCGGGATCCCGTCACTGCGCAGGACGGCCCCGTACTCACTTCTTCTTAGCGGGCGGCCGTCGATATGGCCGCCGCGAGCCTTACTCCAGCGGAACGGGACCGCTATTCCCGCCGGATGGCAGCGGTTGAGACGACTCGCCCGCGTTCCCTCTCTCCCGAGCATCGGGGTGAGGGTCCCTCTCGGGACAAGGGGAAGACCATGGATGCACGGAACTGGGGTGCCTCGGGCATCCCAGACGATGAGCTAGACCCGAACGCGCAGAGGCGCGAGCTGCAGTTGTATAGTACTGGGCATCACAATATATTTGATAACTACGATACAGACGAGCAGCGTGCCATGCTGGAGTATTGGGAAGCTCGAAAGCAAGGGCGGAAGGACTCAGAACGTGAGCCGACGGCGGTTACTACGCCTGGTGGGTCTGCCCGATCGGCCTCCTTGTACTCCATTAGCCGCGCTTCGACCCCGTCCGAGGCGGAAGAGGTTGAGGAGGCTATCATGGCAGCTCTCCGCCGTTCCCCCAGCCAGGAAGCGAACCATCGCCTCACGGAGCAGCTCCGGGAAATACAGAGGGAACTTGGCTCGCTTGAAGGAAGAGGCAGAGCAGCATAAGGCCGCTCGCAAGAAGAAGCGGGACTCGCAGAAGGCCCGGAAGGCCAAAGGCGCTGTCATCTCCCAGGAATCCGTAGCTGGGAGAAAGAGTCTCGGGCCTGCTCACCGAGCATCATCCCTACGGCCGGTCGCCCAGCTGGAGCCGGGCAGCTACCTAGAATGGGCCTTCGCTGGCATCACAGGTGGAGACCCCTCGGACAGCTCTGACGGCTCATCCTCATCTTCTTCCGAGCCCTCGGAAGCAGGTGGTACGAGCTCTGTTGAAGGGGACAAGTCTGTTAGCTCGCACGGGGCCTCGCGTAAGTCTCGTAAAAAGAAGAAACGCACCAGGAAACCCGTGCTCAAGCCCGAGCAGCCAGAGAAGTATGGCGGAGAAGCCAATGCTCAGACATTCCACAAATTCATGCGTCAGTGTGTGGAGTATATTCGTGGGTACACTGTAGACTCACAAATGTACGCCTCAACAATATCCAACTTCCTCACTGGAAGAGCTTACACCTTCTGGGTCAACACCGTGTCCAATAACCCTGCCGAGTGGACGCTGGAAGACCTGTTCAAGGAACTGTTCAATTACTGTTTTCCAGTAGACTATCGCCTGCAGATGGGCGAGAAATTGCGGAACACTTACCAGGGAGGACGTAGTGTACGTGACTACGTTCATGAGCTTGAGAACTTGTTTCTGCTCGTAGGATTTGTCTCGGACCGAGAACGAGTAGACAAGTTGTGGAACGGCTTGAATGAGAGCATACAGCGCGAATTGTGGAAGAAAGAACTCACCCCCACCACGTCTACCTGGTCTGAGGTCAGGGAGGCCGCTGAAATTATTGAGATTGCTGATAAAGTAGGCCGAGGTGGTTATTCTCGCC